AACTCTCTTTGGGGTTCCACAAGGCCCATGGTCCCGAGCCATCTGTCAGTTTTGAAAGCCCTGTGTCAACTTCGTCCTGCGACTCTTTCCAGCGCTCCCCTCCGGCTGATCTGGTCTGAGCCACACGGTGCCTCTTAGATGCCGTGTGTGCATACCTGTGTGTAAGCATGCAGCAGCTAGCAACAGCAATTCGTTAGAAAGATGTAACCCTGGCAATCCTCTTGTGTCTTCGCTCCTTGAACTTCTTAGGAATGGGACTAAGTGTCTGTGGTTTTTTTTTTTTTCTTAAATTTCAAGCCATCCTAAATGAAATACCAGTGTCTGAACCTTTCACTAAAGGTTCTGGAACCGTCCAGTACCCTCGCTGGTTCAGGCCCAGTGCTATGCATTCCAGCCCCTGGAATGACCAATATCATGTAAAGAACCCCAGAAGCTGCTGATTTTGTGCAGTCACAGCCAGCACCATGGGCTCATAAAAGCTGGGGAAGAAAGCAGAGTGGAAGAAATCATTTCAGGAGCTTCAGAAACAAAAGAGGAACTTGATGCTCCTAAATAATTAAAGAAACTGGGAGATTAAGTCTAGAAAACAGAGGGCCCCAGAGAGATGTTGCAGTTGCTTTGAGGAATGAGGAACTTTTCTTTCCTGAAGACTGGCCTCCAGTTTTTCAACATCCCCAAAAGCAAACCCCAGGCAGCCTGCTATCCAGCCTGTCTTTAGATATTTGGGGCTGAATTCTTATTACAAGCCTGATCGGATTATTTCTACCAGAGGATATTCTCAATGCTCATTGCTTGCTTGTCAGTTTTCCAGAATTTTTTCTGTGTGAATATTCTTTCTAGAAAAATCCATCCAATGCTTCTTCACTTCTTTTGCCATAGGAAAGGCATGGCAATGGGTGCTGTACTCATCCACAAGAAGGTATTGTGCATCTAGTAGTTTAGGAACATTGGCAGCCAGCACTTTTGCGGATTTGCTTCATGTCAGGCACTGTGCTAAACGTTTTGAATGTGTTATTTCATTTTACCCTTAAAACTGCCTAGTGTAAGAGGTACTTCCTGTTTATGGATGAAGAAACAGAGGCTTGGAAAAAGTCTATGCAATGCCCACAGTTTTGTGGTTAATAAGTAGGTGAACCCAAGACATCTGACTGCCAGGTCTTACCTATGTCACTGCATTTTGGATCTGCATGCCTGGAATTTTGTAGACAATCTGGGAGGTTCAAAGAAACAGAAAACCAAGGCATTGGCCTAAAGCTCTCATATAACCTATGGAATGGGAATATTTGGCAGGAGATATCGTTGGTCAAGGCTTGTACACCTGATGCCTGGTGAATAAAACAGATAACAGACACCTGCCACAATCTGCGGCTGGATCCTGGGATGGGGAGCAGTGTTGGGCTAAGAAGGCAATCAGGTGGTCTTTGGTGGTCCCTTTTAGTTCAGCCTTGTGCCCCTACCTCCCCAACAGCCATGTTCAGCGGAGAGCCTTGGGCACACATCAAACGCATCAGGAGCCCATCTCAGTGGAAGCTTGGGTCTTCCTGGGTGAGGACTTCTCGTTCCAACACTCTGATGCTGATGTTCTTAGTGCTGTCTTTTTGGCAAGTGCAGAGGTTGTTTCCAAGGTTAATTTCAGAGTGTTCTAAAAATGAAAAGAGTGCTTCCCAGATTCACAATCCTGGAGCTGGGGATTCCTGGAGGATATTCCCTGTGCCAGTTTTCACATGTGGAAATGGACCATTGTTTGATGTAGAGAGACTCAAAGAGCAGCCAAAGATACATCCAGTGCCGCCAGATATCTGCAGTGGGAGGCGTGACAATCAGACTCCTGGACACCTGTGCTTGGTGACCTGCAGCCGTGGCGTCGTGTGGCATCCAAAGACTGAATTGCCTCAACCCTTTGGATGGACAGACCCTGCATGTTTCCTCCTTTCTAGGTGGTTGAGGGAATCTGGGCCAGCGTTGCCATTTCCAACCACACTTGCCACGTATTTTACAAGTCCTCAGAAAGGAACAAAGCAAATAAATTCTACTCCTCTTTAATACAACTATTCACAAGAGAGAAGGAACAAATCTGTCTTGTTGTTGTTGTTGGCTTTGTCTTTTAAAAGATGTGCATCTAGAAAAGTAGTGGAATAAAAAGAAGCATTATCATTGCTGAAGTTTTCTGGCCAACAAAAGCACCCTGTTCTTGGGGTCATGCACAGGGGAGAGACAGACCCTCACTGGAGAGATGTCTTTGGACACTCACCCTAGTTTGTCAGGCGCAGATGCTAATGGAACCAGGCTTGGTGACTGAAGGGGAAAATGGAATATGAAAGCAAAATGAAAGAGGCCCATGAAGCAAGCATGTCATTTCTAAATGAAGGTTTCATGCAAAGGAATTGAGTCTTTTCACAGCTGAAAATGGAATCTTTAAATAAGATAAAATAAAAGGATGCTTCGGCTTGTTGCAGCTTCTGTAATGAAATACAGTTTTCCTAATACCGTGTGACCTGCATTTCTCCCTGCTGTATGGGTGCTATTCCTTGACGTACAAACCCGTATTTTCTCAAGTCAGCATTTGATGATGGATGTCAAAATACAGGCCATGTATTATGCATATAGCATTACCGATTTAAGGTGTTTACTTGTCAAGTTGAAGAAATTCAAAAACGTCACATCCACTGAATCTGCACAGCTGTCACTTGCAGTTTTTCATGCTTTTGAATGAAACTTCTGATGAAAACAGTTTAGTTTTCCCCTTCACTATTCTGGGGGAAGAAAACAGCTAGCATTTAAAATGCATGTTCTCGGTTCTATGGTTGGCTGAAAAACATGTGTCCCTAAGTTTAGAAAGATGGACACTACAGTGCCATTCAAAATGACTCTGCTTCTTCGTAGTACATTAACGTAAAAATAAAGTGAAGCGCAATGAGGGAATGGATATTCAGTCAAACTTTTTTCTTTCTGAGTGTGGCACTCAATATGAAATTTATACACTGGAGAGCAGAAAATAAGGAAACCCTTTTATAAGTTTCCAGCACTTCGTGCAGTGTGTGCCTCTGAAACAACAGGCAATTATTGAGCACCTGTCATTGCATTCCTGGTTCACACGTAGCCAAAATGCCAGCTTCAGCCCACTCTTGTCACGTTCCTGGGGAGTGAGTAAAGAATCCCGTCGTAAGATCTATTTGGAGTTTTGTCCTTGGAAACTTCGCAAGTGGCTTTTCACCTGCAAGTCCCTAATTCATTGCAACCCAGCAAAGGCAAAGAGGAGAAACACCTGCCTCCCTGTCCTGTCTGGTGAGAAGCACATTTGGCCTTGCAGCCACCACAGAGCTGATGGTGTCATTTTCTATAGACTTCCCTTGAAAAAATTAGTTTTCACCCAATGAATGTATGTAGCCAATAAAAATTCATGTGTTTCTGCACAACGGTCATGCAGCCTGGCTGCGCTGATTTCTCTGTCTCCCTACACTTGAACCTATGGTTGGTCCAAGTTCATCTTTTTTTTTTTTTTTTTTTTTGACAGGCAGAGGGGACAGTGAGAGAGAGAGACAGAGAGAAAGGTCAGCCGGCGCACCGCGCTGATCCGATGGCAGGAGCCAGGTACTTCTCCTGGTCTCCCATGGGGTGCAGGGCCCAAGCACTTGGGCCATCCTCCACTGCACTCCCGGGCCACAGCAGAGAGCTGGCCTGGAAGAGGGGCAACCGGGACAGAATCCGGCACCCCAACCAGGACTAGAACCCGGTGTGCCGGCGTCGCAAGGTGGAGGATTAGCCTAGTGAGCCACGGCGCCGGCCCTCAAGTTCATCTTGATATGTACTCAGGGCTTGGGCCTGAGACCCAAAGAAGCCCAAACTGCAAACTCATAAACCTGCCAGGCTGATTCCCATCTCCTCTGTCCCACATCTACCTTATTACCTCCATGTCTGGCGCACTGAGAAGTTCAGGAGTCCACAGTTAGCAGGTGGCATGTACATTAGTCAGGAGAATTTTCACTGCAATTAAAGAAAACAAAGAAAAAATGTGTACCTGTTACTATGCATGCATGTATAAACACTACATTGTACATGTGTGTATGTCTGTGTATAAAGTCTCACAGAGTGAGAAACTCTGAGGTAGGAGTGTTCCAGGGCAGCTACCCAAGGAACTCAAGGAAAGTTCTTTCTGACATTCAATTCAGCCAGTATCCTTAAGTTAGGTTGGTGTCACTATAAAATGCAAGATGACTGCACAGTCCCAGGTCCTACAGGTTCATAATATCAAGTCCAGTGGATTAAGTGAGAATCTCTTGTGGTAACTTTCTTTTGAAGAGCAATCAAGTATTTCCTGAAAGCCCTCAGATTGACTTCTGCCCACATCCCATTGGCTAGGATTGTGTCTAAATTCAAGCCTAAATCACCCACTGGCAAAAAGTTAAGTAACTCATTTGTTTAAGATAACAACCAGGATAGGGTTGGTTGTATGATAATAATAACAAACACTCTTCAGTGGCTTATGGCAACATAGCTTCATTTTTCTCTCATGCAGAATACTTCACGTTCTAGGCAGCTGGCCAGGTCCACTCGCTGGCCCTTACGTCCATAGTAACCAATGTCCCCACAGTCACCATGACCAGGGAAGGGCGAGGCAGCAAGTCTAATGCTTGTACCCCCTATCTGCTATCCATGGACCAGAGCATTCCACAGCTCACCTGGTCATGTCTAGCTGCAAGGGGCAGCACAGGTCCTCCTGGGTAAGTGGAGGCAGAGTGGACTTGAAAGCACAATAGGTGATTGGTACAGTCTGGACTTTGAGGGAGCCATCCGAGTGAGTTGGAATGACTGACAATGGTTTGCTTCTGTGTTCTTCTAAGACAATGACTCATCAGGGCATATCCCAGGAGTGATCATTGTTAACCTGCAAATAATGCACTTGCTACTTTTGGGGGGACGTATATGTGCATGGTACTCTCATTCTTTCCAAATTTTCTGCCTCTCTGATTCTTATTCCTGTTTTGTTTCCATCCCACCAGGATTCACACCTCCGGGAATGGACAGATCCTCTCCAGATAACAGCCCCGTGCACGGGATGCTACGCCAGCCGTCCATCACGACTGGGGTCAACATCCCCATCATCACAGAACTAGGTAGGGGTGAATGTCAGCTTTGGGGGCATTATTTGGTCCTGTCTTCCAGCCTGCAGGATATGAGGTCAGCCTCTTTCTTAGTCCTGTCAGCCTTGTGGGTTTATTTGGGGGGAAGTTGGTGAGAGGTACAGGGAGACATGGCAGATTATCCACAGGAATACTGATCTATCTTCCCTCAGAGATGAATAGACAGTTTCCTTCATGCTGGTCGCTGTTTTCAAAGAAGCATGAGATAATGGCCTTGAGACTGGGGCATGAATTCGGGAAGGGGGAGGGCAGGAGGAAAGGCTTAGTCCATGGAGCCTTTCTGGTGATAGTCGCCGGACACAGCTCTTCTGAGCATTCTCTCTGGACAGAGAGTACACACCGCGCCCTCCACCGACACACAGAACTGAGGTCTCAGCCAAATCCATTTTGACAACCGGGTAGAAACGTTGAACTACTATGTAATCACTCGACATTTAATCCTCTCTAGTTGAACTTTGAGCCAAAGGCCATTTTCAGCAAATGGCCACCGTGGTCCAAGAACGATTAGGTTTTGAGGGCCGTGATTCTTGGCTCGTGGAATCCAGCTTCTAATCCGGCCATGGCATCCACCGCGACTGTTTGCGACTTTGCAGAGCTGCTCAGTGGCTCTCTCCCCGCAAGACAAACGCCAGGTTTCTGTGCTCCCGGGTCTCTTGACTTGAGAATGTTTCTCTGCTACTCCCTCACCTTTTTCTTTTTCTGTACTTTCCTCCACTCCCTTTCCCCACCCCTTAAATGCCGTATCCAATTAGCTAAACCGGGCAAGTTGCCTTTGGTATCAGTCAATCAGGAAAAAATCAGTGGGACGCACATTCTAATGATAACTGAACTGGGTAAGAAGCACTGTTTTCCTTGACATCAGCATCTCCTTTTGTTCTCGGTGTTTCCAGCTCTCATCGGCTTGTTTTTTATTTCACCAGCTGTAACAGAAAGGCTATCCCATGGCACTGCTTTGAATGTGTTTTATTTGTGGCTCTGGTTGGAATCGACTGTCTTGTTCTGGCCTTTCTTAATGATTTTTTTTTCCCTACGCAGCATCCGTAAACCTTTGATCGCACCCATCTGACCTGGCAGTTGTTTCCAAAGCACCTTTGCACTAATTCATTTTCTATGGACCAATCTTTTTTTTTTTTTTCCACGTGTGCCCTGCTCTCCTGCCTTCTCCCTCGTATTCCTCTTCCAACACACTGTCAGTTTGACTGACACATCTTCACAGCTCTCAGAGGAAGTCAAAGGAGAAATATAAAATTTTTAAGATAAGAAATCTAAGCCCGTGCCTTCCCTCCAGCTGTTTATTTTCCTTTATTCTGACTTTATTTGCCTTTTTTTCCCTGCTAGGCCCTTTCTCAGAAGCTCTGCTTCTGAAGCCATAAAAGTAGTTGGTTCCTAGGAGACTCTTTTTTGTTCTAAAGCCAGATTTCAAGAAGGATCTAGAAGATGAGACTGGCAGGCACTGGCATGTAGCCCTGCTCTGACCCCCACTTCCTGGTCCAGAACCCTCTCCGGGTGTCACAGTGGACTCATCGAGAAGAGGAAGGCTTCCAGTCAGCACTGCACTTGCCAGACCCATCCACACTTCCCCATGACTTGGGGCATAACTCCACGAAGGAGCCAGCAGCAGGGGCTCAGAGCTGGGGCTTGGCCTTCTGGGCAGAGACAGTGAAACGGCTCGGCAGGGCAGTAGGCAGAGGGCGGGGCGCTCCTGCCGCCAGTGACTCTCCAATGTCCCTGGCCCCCAGATATATTTCTAAATAAGAGAGGAGGCTTTCGACACAGGTGTCTTTCTTGGGAGATGTCTAGAAAGTATGAAAGACATTGTCTACCCATTCTGGTGCATGTGGTCTCCAGTTTGCATTTTCTGAGTCACAAAGCAGAAAGACCAAACTGTGGGACCCACAATTTGTCTTTGGACTGTTAGAAGACAAAATGACAACAACATAGCAGATCTTAACTGGTTTTGTTTGTGATTCTAGCATAAGGCAATAGTCACAGCAAAAAAAAAAAAAGGTTCAGAATGCCTCGCCCCGCCACCTGTCAGATTATATCGGTGGCCAGGGAAAAGGAAGTGACATACACAACCTGGAAGTGAAGCGGTTCAGCCTGTGTCTGTCTTGTTTGAACCTGGTTTGAATAGTTGGCTGCTTGTGATTGGCTGAGACCCTTTCCTTATTACCAGCATAGGTTACAGACTATTTATACATAGAGTTAGGTTACAGTTCACTATGAGAAACCTTCAAGCCAATCTTAACATATGCACAGAGGCAGCTTGAGGTCAAACCTAATTTAACAGGACAGTGAAGGGCGATGAGGAAAAGCTACCACTTGAAGGATCCATGAGGTTTCCAAGAGACACAGAGGGCAGCTGGGAGGATTGGTGAAGCAGTGGGTTGATGGCAGGGCGATCAGGATAGCTGCTCCCATGTATGTGGTGCACAGTGTGATCCCGGAGCTGGGCCGAGCTATCAGGCACCATTTCATGGGAACCTGCTAACAAACTCCTGAGAGAGCTGCTCTAATTTCCCCATTTTATAGAGAGAGAAACTAAGGTAGGGGAGGATGAAATGCTTTGCCCTAAGATGTTGGTGGTTGAGCCTGGCCTTAAATCTGAGTTGTCAGAACCTAGAATTTGGACTTATACACACACACACACACACACACACACACACCAGCCTGCATGCAGTTCATAGGCTGTTTAGACAGTGGGTACCCACAATCAATCAACTCTGGAAAAATCAAGCAAAGATTTTTCCCTCATTAGAACATTTCTCTGGGGAAACAAGATGGTGTCATTTAAAAATAATTCCATGCCTAGCCTTGTATCCCATTATCATTTATTCTGCCTCTTGCAATAAACAAACAAAAGTTTTTCTAAAAGAAAAAGTTATCAAGAAAGTTACTTTCAAAAAAATTAAAACAATAACTCCAGGAAGGAGAATTAGTTGCTGCTGCATTTGGAAAGGAATCAGAGAGGGGAAGCGTCATCTGTTCTCTTCCTAAAAGCACGATAATTACTTCAGGAGTCATGAGTGCCCCCTCTTCTCTTCCCTCTCACCCTCCCCCTATTACTTGCTCTGCAAAACTGATCATTTCTGCAGCCAAGATGGGAAGGGAAATTAATTTGTCATTTAATTTTTAATAAGTTAACGACATCCGAGTGACACAACTAATCAGTCTGTACGTGGTGCGGGAGACGTCCTGGAGGAATCCTGAGACGGAAAGAAAGTAGTACAGCATGCAGGCAGAAGCACACGAGAGAGAGAGCTGTTCCGAAGGGGAGAGGGAGAACGCTGGTGTAGCCTGGCAAATCAGAATATGGAGCGAGTCATTGCAGCGAGCAGCAGGGGACAGCCAGGGAGCCACCCCACCTGGGGCTTGCTGTGTAGTCAACAGGGCCTGGCGCATCCGGCGCTCCCCAGGCCAAGCCCCAGGGCAGGCTGTGTGGGTCCTGCTTACAGGTGGCATCCTTGCTGTGTGCCTGTGCCGTGCTCCTGGTTCATTGCTGTTTACTCTCCATGAGCTGCTTTCTTTTCTTTGTGCTTACACGTACATCCCAGCATGGCTGCACATCATTGAAATATGTCCACCCCTCAAAGGATGTGGCTACCAAAAAATACTGCTCCAGGGTGGTTTTTTGGGGCCATGATTCTAAAACTGTACCTGAGGATGGCCAGTGTTATCTCCTGGACCTCTGGCAGCTGCCATGGAGCAAGCCTGCTCTGTCTCATGCTCTCCAGGTCCCAGAAGCTAAAACGATCACAAGGAGCAGTCCCTTGAGTCTCGCTGCCTCCACCCCAAAGATCCATCTACAGCTCCCCCACCCCCACGCTCCGCTTCCTTTTCAGTAACTTCAGTGTTTCTACACCAGTAGCCTGGTCTCTCCAGCTTTGCCGCACGGGTGTGGTCTTGAGAGCTCATTCTGACTTTTACACTTTTCCCAGTGAACGACACCAATGTTCAGTTTTTGGACCAAGACGATGACGACGACCCCGACACAGAACTGTACCTCACACAGCCCTTTGCCTGTGGGACAGCCTTTGCCGTCAGCGTCCTGGATTCACTCATGAGTGCGGTGAGTCCCCCTGCTCCTTCCTCCCTACTCAGGGTCGCAGGATGTGGCCATGCAGCCCCTCCGACCTTAGAGGCGCTGGGCTGGAGCTTCAGCCACGGTGGGAAGCGCAAGTTCTCGAAGGTCGCAGTCTAGGAAGGGCTAGCAACATTAACCACGCTCTCACACAAGTCAAGGTTTGATTATAAATACTTCCAAGTGCAAGGATGGCAAGACAGGCTGTGAGTAAATGGGGGAGGGGGGCACTTGGTCTAGTTCTGGGCATCAGAGAAGCAGTAATATATAGACACTTCAAAAAAGTTCATGGAAAATGGAATTTAAAGATAAGCTTATTTTAGTGCAAAAAAAGTTGAAATCAATTCATGCAGAGCTTCCTAAAAATGTTAATGGAAGATGTGTTTATGAAAAAGCTATGCATGGGTCTCTATAGTATCTTGCACCAAAATAAATTAATCTTTAATTCCACATTTCCATGAATGTCTTGAAGTACCCTTGTGTATTTTATGCTGAGCCCTAAAGAGGGGAGACTTTGTGAGGAAGAATCTTTCTCAAAGGACAAGGTGAAGCCATGCAAAGGCCTGGTGGTGGGAGGAGCCTGGGGTTCTCACGAAAGGCAAGAGAAGCCGGTGCACTGGACCACAGTGAGAAAGGGACTGGGCCAACAAGGCAGGGTTAGATCTGAGCGACCTCAAAACCGATCTTTTCCTTAAGATCAGCGAGGAGGCGTCGAAGGGTTCTAAGTTGGAGAGTTGGCTGATCAGGTTCATGTTTTAAGGGGGTTGCCTTGGCTGGGGGAGACAAGGTGGAAGCTGGAAACATCAGAGGCTCCTGTAGCTTGGGCTAGGTGGACTAGGTGGAGATGGAGGGAGGTAGATGGGTTTCTATGGCGTTTGTCAGTAAAATTGGTTGGGACTTGGGAGTCGATAGAACATGAGCAGAAGATTGGGACAGTGTGTCCAGGGGGACTCCCAGGCCACTGCCTGGCCCTGGGGCGAAGCTGTTGGGCATGAGGGCGAGTGCTGGCCAGTTCTCTGCTGCAGAGAGGGGCGGAGTGGAGGTGAAGGGAAAGGGTGGCTGGCTGAGCCCAAAGCAGCTTTGGTTGCTTAACACCAAGCAATCAAGGCATCCACTTCCTTGTTTTTGAAACAAATAGCAATTTAAAAAGCCGATCCCAGCTTAATGGAGCAATCTTTCACTGCAAAAGATAAAAGCAGGCATTTAGAACGGGTCATAACCCGCGTGCTCTGAAGTGTTCCTACTGAGTGTCTTTATTTGCTACACAGCAAATCCTCTTTATTTTGGAGTTGTCAAATTCCCAGTTTGTGAAAGTACAGACATAGGCTGGATAAAAACTGACCTTTGGAGAATCCACAAAAAAGAGTTTTATCCAACACATTAAAATCAAATTTGGAGTTTTTTACACCGACATTTCTTAATAACTTTGTGCTCTTGGATGTGTTAAACAACTGATATGCTAATTATGCATTATTTTCATCTGTTCATTAAAGCTAATCCCAGAAGGACCCTCTGTTTGTGGAGAGGAAAAAAAAATATGAAGCTTTTTAAAACTAATTTAGGTTATTCTGTATTCTTGAACATGGTCTAACTGTAAGCCTATCTTAGTGAAAAATCAAAATTATGGATTTAAACATAATTATGAAAGTCTCATCCCAAGGCCTTGCCACTGCCGTCTAAGCCAGCAAGGAGATACAGTGGTCCCTGGAGAAGAGCACCCTTGCTTGTCTGAGGTTTGTGACCTTTCTGATGGCCTCGGAGCCTGGGCTGGCTTTTCGTAGCTGCCAGGTGTGTTGGAATCAGTGTGGCCAGACTCCTCTGGCAGACAAGAAGGAGTGATGGAAGCCTTGAAGTGATGTCCTCGTGAGGGTGCCAGATTCCCTAGAGCAGGCCTCATTCTCCCCAAATCTAGTTTCAAACAGATTTTTAAGATTCATCTCTTTAGAAACTGCATGTTAATTTTGAACGTAATTAGAGAGAATGCAGAAACCTGTTCTCACTGAGGGATTATTTGCCTGTTTGGTAGATCTTTATATTTTCTTTTCATAACTACAAAGTATTTTTGTTAAAATTGTTAAAAATCCAACTTTTAAGCTTCTTAATGTCAGACATTCAGTATATGCCAAGCAGGACCAGCTACATAAGGCTATTTTTATTTTTATTTTTTTAGATTTTATTTATTTGAGAGGTAGAAATACAGACAGAAAGAAAGGTCTTCCATCTGCTGGTTCACTCCCCAAATGATAGCAACAGCCAGAGCTGGGCCCATCTGAAGCCAGGAGCCAGATGCTTCTTCTAGGTCTCCCATGGGAGTACAGGGGCCCAAGGACTTGGTCCATTTTCTACTGCTCCCCCAGGCTATAGGAGAGAGCTGGATTGGAAGAGGAGCAGCCAGGACATGAACCGGCGTCCATTTGGGATGCAGGTGCCAGAGGCAGAGATTCATAAATTATTAAGAATTTCTACATGGTGATGGGTGAGTGTTTAACAGACTATGGCCCCCAAGCAACCACTCAGACAGAACACCCCACCCCTGAAGCCAGCTCTGGCTCCAGAAACTGCAGTTGGTTTAAGCACCAGAGAACTTCATCTCTTCATAGCCAGAGCGGTCCACGGGAGCCATGGAGTAGAGGAGGGGGCCCATCTGGACTTGAGTGGCACAGCTGTCAATCTATAGCATCACCAGGGAGTCAGTTCTTAGAAACACAGGTAGGAAATCAAAATGAATTCATTTGACATTTTTCTAAAAAAGACATCAACCAAAATGTTTGGGAGAGAATGGCTAGGGCATGGATGGATGCAGTAGTCTGAAAACACATCTCTTCCACGATCTAGCCTGGGGAAAAGGGGGGCTCTGGAATCTGCTAGCACTCCTTGTACTTGTCATCAGCATTATCCTCTATGCAGGGCCCAGAACTGCACTAGGCATCCCGGCTACGTTGTCTTACCCTTTGGACAGTAACATGAATGAACCTGGTCAAAGTATTGAAGGAAGATACATTGAACTGACCTGTCAATAGTGGCTTTGAAATCGTTGACCACAATGTCTGCCAGATGGTTGCAGACCTTACTTTCCTCGTCTGGGATGAGCAAGTTCTATAGTGAGGTCTTGAATTGAGTCTTTTGAATCGGGAGGTCTAGACTTTTCCATCAGAGCTTACCTGGGATCCCTTTGCATTCCGCGCTAACCCTTATTTATGAAACAGTAGATTAGTCAAGTTCCAAGGCAGCCACTAGAAAGAGCTAAGAGCGTTGGCAAGAATATTAATTGAGGAAGTGAGGCTCCTCCACACAGCAGGAGCCAGAGGCAAGCTTCCATCTCAGGCGTTCTCTCACGGGCACCATCACAACATCCACACACAAATCTCGAAAGGTGCTGGCAATCTCCTTTTTTCTAGCACTCCTCCCCAAATTGCCATTTAATCATGTGTCTAAACATTCCCTGAATATTGTCCTTCATAACTCAACTCCTGCTGCTCATGGCTTCATTTGTTAAAAGAGTAACGTCTCGATTCATCACAAGCATTCCAGGTGGAGACAGGGATGTTACAGACGTGGCCTTGTGGCGTTCTCCCGCAAGTCAACAGCAGCAGCTTCTGATGAGAGCAGTCATGATGTTGAGGAGGGTGTTCCTCTAGGAAGAAGATCACAACTTAGAAATGTGTTTTTAGAGTGATGCCAGCTTGCTGTGCGTGTGCAAATGTGCACACACACACATACACACACACATAGAGAAATTTTAACAGAAGCCTGCATGCTGTCAGGGCTGAAGCCAGCATGTGAGCATTCAGACTTGTTCTCTACCCAGCCACCACTTCCTCCAAGCCCAGTTTCAGCTCCACTCGCGAGAATATAAGACGTGGACTCAAGAGCCAGACTGTGTGGATGCAGTGGCCATCCACTCGTCCTCTGACCTGGGGAAGCGGTGCTCATGAACCTTCAGCCCTGCCCCAGAGATCTACCACACTGAACCCTCAGCATCAGTGGAGAAGGAGCAGTGGAGAGATACTTCCTTCTGGGGAGAAGAAAGGGCATCCTATTCAAAGTTTGAGGTTAATGAATTCCGGTACATGCAAGTCACCTTCTGTCTGTCTGTCTGTCTCTCTCACTCTCAAGAAATTAAGATACGAAGTTTTAGGTTTGCAAGGCCACCTAATCTGGAAAAATACAGAAAAAGTATAGCCTTACAGTGTAAAGATAAAGGGCAAGGCAAGACAGAGAGCCGCTTTGTGAGTGCAGGATACATCTGAGTACTAGAGGCAGGGCAGAGCACGCCTTCCCCTGGACAGACTTCCGCCGCCCAGCCCCCGGCACAGAGGAGACTGAGTGTGTGAGAGTCTGATGCCAGCTGTGTCTTCGCTTTCCCACTACTCCATAACGCCCAGGGCGGGGTTTGCGCAGGCAAGGAATTCGTATTTTCATAACAAACATGGCAGAGGGGAACAGCATGGGGCCCGGCTGTGATTTAGGATGTACTGCCCTGGGTCCTGGTTTGCTAGCAGCCCTTACCTACCTTTTTTCCTTGTCTGGGGCTATTTGGGTTTGACTGTTAAATGGGAATGATATTAACAACCACTTATAGCTTTACGGTATTCAGGTATAAGCAATGGTGTATAAAAATATTTCACAGAACAGGTAAATACTTCTTAAGATCACATGTATTTACAGAAAAGAGATTGATTATATATGAAGGGTCATCAAAAATCATTGGAAATGCATATTATGAAAAAAATGCATGCATTGATTTAAAAATATTTTGTATCAAAATAGTTACCTTTCCATACCATTTTTCAATGGCCATTTGAAGCACAAACATGTTTGTGTATGTGTGTTCTCATGAGCAGTCTCTCTCTCTCTCTCTCTGAAAGATTTATTTATTTATTTATTTTAAAGAGTTACACAGAGAAAGAAGGAGAGGCAGAGAGAGGTCTTCCATCTGCTAGTTCACTCCCCATTTGGCTGCAACAGATAGAGCTGGACCAATCTGA